AAAAAAAAAAAAAAAAAAAAATTGTGTGTAGATTTGTTTCATTTGTTTTCAAGCATTTGAATTAGATTTTGGTTGATGGAACATTGGGATGGTAGAGAAGGTTGGCATGAATTTGGTACTCTTAACCTTTTTCTAATCTGTTGATAAATTGAATGGCAATACCTACATATTATGAGAGCAAAGCAATAGCTAACAATTTGAAAGAGACAAAATTATCTAAGGCTATTCCATGAGTTTTGATGGTAAAAGAGCAGTGATGTAATCGAACAGAACGAGATGAATTCGAACTTATTGGAGCGTTTTTTACAAGTTGTTCGTTTATGTATGAAGATTGTTTTCATTTTCTTTCGCATATGATTCGTACAAAATTTTGTATTTGAGACTGTTCTTTCAACTGTTCATCAAAGTTCGTGTTTGAATAATTTAATAAACAAACTTACTTAAATTATTTGGTTAATTCAAGATCGGCTTGCTCAAAACCATTTGGACTTTCGCTAATGAACTCGTGTTTATTCGTTACATGATCTATAAATGAACAAGCTTTTATCGTATATGAACGATTTCAAATAAACATTTTTGAAAACTTTGAATTCATTTAGAACTTTCGGCTGGGCAATCCAGGGTTGTAAATGAGATGTGCTGAGCTCGAGATCAGGTTGAGGATGGTCAAACTCGAGTCATTAACAAGCTAAAAATCGAGCTCCACCTCGATCCCGGCTCCTTTATCAATATTAACAAACCGATCTCGAGTTTTTAACGAGCCGAACTATAAAAAATTATATAAAAATTATATTTTCGAGCTTTATCATGTAGACCCGAGCATGACTCGCTAACGAAACAAATTTCAAGCGCACCAAATTCACGAGCGACTAGTTTAGTTTAACAGTTGTCATTCTTTTTTTTTTCTCGAAACGATAGAACATTTCTAATTCATATACCGCAAAATTTGTGTTGCTTTTCCTATTATAAGTTGGAACTGACATAATTTTACCACATTCATATTAATACTATTATAATTAAACTGCGTGCCATATAGGTGAAAGTGGAAACCGAAAGTGGCTAAATTAATTAAGCATTGTCAACTATAGGTGGTGATTGAAATACATTCCAACCCATAGGATTTATCAACTGCATAAATGTAGGAAAACGATTAGGATCTATTTTTACAAAATTTTTAGGCTTTTATTGATTTTACTTTTAACCTATACTCTATAGATACCCTTTTTTCTCTCTCTTTTTTTGCATTGATATTATTCTCTTTTCCTTTTTGGTCTTCAAATTTTGCGAATAATTTCATCATCATATAAACTTAAAATTATAAACTTGTTTCTGTAGTTTAACTTGATCGAGCACGATTCGTTAATTTGAATATGCGTTATGTCTTCTAATATTACAACTCAATTTTAATTTATTAATGCTCGAGCACAATTCGTTAAGATCGATAAATGAAAAGACCTCTCGGTTAAAAGCTCAAAATCGAATTTAAATATTAAGAGCTTTGTCATAACTCGACTACACACCTCCACGTATGAAAATTATAGCACATTTCATATAAGTCGAGTCATCTGATTACTCCACGGCTAAAGTGATTGTTTTGACCCACCCTTCTTTTGCTTTTTATGCAAGTTGGCCCTGTTTTAGTCTCAAGTTCCCTTAAAAAAACGTAAATTTGTTTTACCCTGAATAGAGCAAATGTACAGTCTTCATCAGTTACTATTTTCCGTCAACACGTCAAAAGTATTCTTATTTCACCAATAATAATATTTTTACTTCGTATCTCTTTCACCTTTTTGTGTTTATTAAAGCTAAGA